TTATAAGACATCTCTTGAGGAGATTTTCCTCCTTAATATTCATTGGCTTAGTAATCAGAATGCTTCCTTTCTTGGTGTTCATCTCGGCTCTTCTTAAATTACTGCTCCCTCATTCACTCTGTTGGACAGCCTCAGCATAAGAGTATTCTTCCTCCATCACCCTTGAGAAAGAATGTTCCTTCTCTCTTTGCTGACATTTAATGAATCTCTCAATCTTTAATGCAATATCCACCCACCCTGCATTTAATGCAAGTTCCGGTATGATTAATCCCGACCTTCCACCACTATTTAAGGTTATCACACTCATAAATTTCCCATATTCATTTTGCTTCTTGGTACAAAAAAGCTCTGCCTCTCTATCTGCTAGTTTCCATCTTCTCGTCTCCTTTTTGTGCTCCTTTGAAGCCTCTCTCAGGCAGAAACATATCCATTCCATAGCTTTCTTGCTCATAACTGACCTCGTCATCTTCTTTCTGCTTCTTTCAATCCATTCATACCATTCAGACTTGCTCGAGTTCCATCTAGTGATGTCGAATGACTTAAAACCAACATTAAAATAAATTCTATTTTCTTCCATCCTAGGCTAAAGTGTGTAGCAATTATCACAGTGGGTGATAATTGTTGGCTTAGAAAGAAAAGGCTAAGATTCCGGTGGTTGCTGCCGGAAAAATGGTCTTCTACTGCCCTAGAAAGTAGGACAGAGAAAGTGCATTGGTATTCGTGCCTGGGAGGGAATATCCCATATGATAAAGGTATGTAGGTATCTTTTTTTTTTTTGGTCCAGAGGACAATAACTTAACATCTGTCTTTTCAGAAAATAAAAAGACAATAATATAATAACTCACATAGTTTCTATGCCAATGGTGCAATGTTAGTGTGTGAAACAAGGAAAAACATATGATGTTTCTTAAGGTGGCCCACTGGCTTTTAAAGACAGTCCTTTGTTAATGCAAGTTGTCATTTCCTTTGACATGATATCTATGTTGGCGTCAAAGTCCGACGCTAAGACCTTCGTGACTTTTAGGTAAGTTTGAAGTCTATTTGGTTATGATTAGGTCTACTTTTAAATGTATGATTTCTTCTTTTTATTTATAAAATTAGGTGTAAGGCAACACTAAACCATAAATTAATATTTGCTTACTTTTTTTAAAAGACATTCTTCCTCGGTCAATACCGTCCTGTATATCTACACATAGCGACATATATCCATCCTTCAAATTCATGGTAAAGATGTGTTGGTCATTTGGTATCCATTGGATCAAGGTATACATGCTTTAACCATATCTAACTAGTTTGGGTTGGTTATATGAATCCTTGATATTTGTTAGACTCAAATTTGGTCATGTCGTTCAGATACAAAATGATTTTTTCAAAGACATAGTAGGTTTCTCTAAAACTGAATATTCTCCAAAACTCTGTGTTGTCACGATCCAAAAATCCCATTGGGACGTAAGGGCATTCACTATCCTAGTAGGTGAACCCTATTTCTTTATTAACCAATTAACAATTTAACTAATGCAAAATTTATATAAAATAAACAACTAACTCTTATAGAAGTGGAATAAATAAGTCAAAATCAAAACTACCTCAAGACTTGGTGACACCAGTACAAGAACTTTTATTAATACGAAACAAATCTAAAAACTAAAACTGTTTAGAACTACATAATACGAAGAAAAAACAATTCATACCCAATATGATGTGGAAGTCCATATTCAAAATAATTAAATCTTCCCACATGTCCTGTACTACCTAGTCAACTACACAAGATCGATGTAATCGATCCACCACCAAGAAGAAAGGGGGACACAATCCTACAAATCTCTAACCAAACTAAAAAGACCAGTAGCATACACATGACTTAATGTAGATGTAACAACCAAACCTTATTCTAACAAATTAGGACCATCTCTTACATGGATCCTTGATTCCTAGGTTTCTATATGTTTTGTTTTTATCCATGTCTGTTTACTTTCTATACATTATATAGGTGTTTTAGTGACAACTTCCCTCTGTATAATTTCAGAGGCTTGTCTTATCTTCTTTTTTAATCTTCAATCTCATAGTGTTGTATATATGGGTAGAAACTTACCCGCACCCGGTGGTTACCCTAAACTAATAAATGCTAGACAGTGTCTTTAAGACACACATTTATCACTTAACTGTGGTTAAGTGATGTGTATTCTCACTCTGATTTTAACTGCTAATGTTAAATTGCTAACATTGCATGCTAGTAAGTTTTTAAGATGGTGCATTTGGAGGTCTACCTAAATGTGCATTTAGATCAATGGTTTTATATCTTTGCAAATTTGTTTTCTTTTTCCTTATCAAATCCAAAAGCATCGAGGTGTGTCCAACCGGTGTGAATGTGAGACTCTTACATGCTGCCTAAGATTTGATCTAGTGCCTTCTAAAGGAAGAGTTTGCATTGCACATATGATATCCTAAAGATACTGGGTTGGTGTTTAATGTCCAGGGAGTGCTAGTTATTCAGGATGTGCATGAGCCACTCTAAGACTTGAGTGATATTTCATGCTTGCATGAACAGATTAATCTGTTGTGAATTTCCTACATCAATTCACACCCTATTTTTAAAACGTTTGTAAACTCAGTTCATTGTTCACATATTAATTTTACTAGCCGGTGACTAATTTTTACTCTACAAACTCCAGAAATGAAAAAATAACTAAATGCGACTAGAACTTGTAACAAATTTTTAGTAGTTTACTACTGTCTTTTGTAAAAATTTCTTGAGATTATCTCGTAAAAAAAAAAAACTTCTTGAGATTATCCTCTTATGCTGGTTTAAGAAGTTCTGCTTCCATAACAAGCATGATCCAATTTGGTCTTAGCTCATTTACTTCCTATATTTGGCTAAAATAGGTACCATCAACTTTGGGGCCGATAATTGTCATTTCATGGATGAGAAAGGAGCTAGCGGAGCTGTGGGAAGGTTCACCATCGAGCATAAATGAGAAAACTCGTTTTACCGAAGTCTGAGCTCTTGCATTCTTCCCACCAAGCTACATATAGGGAGGGTACATCCAAACCTGTAAATTTACTTAGTATAATTCAGCTCCATCTGTTGGATATTTACAATTTTTGTTGGACCTATGTCTTCCGTATATTTACGAGGCTGTCAATCTTGAGACAGCGACGAGCCTCCGACTTATGTTGCAATTACAAACGCTAATATTTCTATTACTGGAGTTGCATTGTCTTTATTCCTCCCCTTTCCTCAGTGATTTCATTGACAACTGGTAGTACTATTTTGGAGGTAGGTGTGGAGGCTATGGACCTCCATTTTCTTCTCTTCCTGTATCGTTCATAAGAATTTCAACAGGTACATGTGAAGTTGTTGTCATGTGACTAGGAGTTCACTGATTCAAACTGTGAAATTAACCTTGTACAAAAATGGAGGTAAGGTTGCGTACAATACTCTACTCTCTTGTGGTTGGTCTTTTTTCTGGACACACGGCGAACCAATAGAAAGTAAAGGAGATTCATGATTTCCACGTTCTGTGTAACTAACTTTTTTAGTTCTACACTAAAAAAAAGAAGACTTTTACATGTCAATATTGTTGTATGCATATGATTGTAACCCTGAGGGTATGCAATGCCGATAGTAAAATATACTCGAAAAAATCATATCGTTGAATGCAATTAAGATATACATACATAATACATGTGAATTATGTGCCACAAAGGTATATATAACGTACATATTTAATGGATCTTTTGAAGTAATATTTTTCCTAAATAAGAAAAGAGGGTAATATTATTGAGCAACTTTTTGGCAGCATAAACATCCACCTTAGTTTCCCAATAGTAACTAAATAAAATATAACAATTCCATAAATTTCGTTGAAATAATCAAACAATTAGTCACAAGAGACATGTAATTTTGAATGCAACTATTTTGTGAGGGGAAGATGTTCCGTGGCTTGTGAATATCTTTATCATCTTAATTAAGAGTGTGATTGGAACGTAGGAAAATATTTCTCTAGATTGATTTTTTTGAAAAATAAGTGAATTTTTTAATTTATTTTTTGATATTTGATAACCTACAAAAAAGAAAAAAGTATTTGTTTGAGAAATGAATTAATATTGTTGTTTCAAAAATAGTTATATGTAATTTAGGAAAACACTCTAGGGGTGGGGATGAGATGTGAGATCAGAGATGATGGCATGGAGTACCTAGTCGGAGAGCAGTAAAAAGTTGGGGAGGAGATAATAATTTTGGAATGTTAATTATGAAACTTGTTTTTCCTATAATCATTGTCCTTGAGGTTCTTGAAAAAGTAACCAGCTAGATACAGCAAAATCGAAAAACATTTTCTTACCAAATACACCCAACTCCCAAGTGAATAAATAGTAGGAGTTGTCATTTGGTTAGTTGTATTAACATAATAAATATCAATGTTAAAAAAGAAAAAAGATGGAAAAATTATATAAGAGAAGGTCTTTTATTTAATAATTATCATTTTTAAGTATACTTTTTTAATTTATTATTTTTGTCAACTTTTAGCAATACTTACTTAAAACAATTTTGTTCCTTTAAACTTGGCAAAAAGTGCTGTCATTCGCAACTTTTAGCAATACTGTCATTCAGCCAAATTGTTATATATGGTTAAAAGAATAATGTTGACAAATATCGTAAATATTTTTTAAAAAGTGTACACGTAAGTGATTTTTCCAAAAAAAAATCAATGCATAACTAAAGTAATTTTTGGTTAGCAATATTAAATAATTCTCACATTAAAATACATGAATTTATTTATTATTTATATAAATATAAAATAAAATCTAAATAATATTACATATATTATCAGTTCGAGGATTAACAAATAATTGCTTTACAAAGAAAGTAACAAATAATTCATAAATACCAAAGGTAGATTTCTACATTATGTATTTTTGTAATTTCTTTATTATCTAAAATTCTAAACCTTTACTCTATCATTAATTTCTCATTTGAGATTTTTCCTCGTTATAATTTGTCAATCTCCTATACCTTACAGTAAAAGACCAAAAAACAGGAGGGAGAGAAAACATAAACCCCTGCTACATCCCCCGTCTTCACCAAGTCCGGCGACTCACTGTGGGATTAAGCAAAGAGAAGCGAAGAGCGACGGCGGCGGCATGGGAACGTCGGTTCAGGTGACGCCACTGTGTGGAGTATTTAATGAGAACCCACTCTCTTACCTCGTCTCCATCGACGGCTTCAATTTCCTCGTCGATTGTGGTTGGAATGACCACTTTGATACTTCTCTTCTTCAACCCCTTTCCAGGTCTTCCACAAACAAACACAGTATCAATTTCATTTCGTTTCACTTCAATGTATATAATTTTGCTACTTCTCGGAGCCAAACAAGTGTAAAATCGTTTGCTAGCTTGTGCATTTGACAACAGATAGTTTGTTATTGGATTGATTCTTCATCTATTGATTGCTTTAAACTATTTTGTGCTGAAACAATATATCTTGTATTGATGTTCAGGGTGGCTTCAACGGTGGATGCTGTATTGATTTCACACTCTGATACATTTCATCTTGGTGCCTTGCCATATGCCATGAAACAACTCGGTCTTTCTGCTCCTATTTATGCTACAGAACCAGTGTACAGGCTAGGGTTACTAACTATGTATGATCAGTATCTCTCACGGAAGGTGAAGCTTTACTCTGGCCTTATCTATGAATTATTCAATGCAATTGTTATCTGTTGATACTCAGTCTATAAATTCTGGGGTGTTTTAGCTTATATGCTTTATAATCGAACATTTCACCTGTATGTTGAGCGTCGGTCCTTGACATTGATGTTGTGTATAAATGTTTAGCTTTGCAATGAATTATGTCAAGGTATAGATAAAACAATGTTTGACGCTTGGAATATGTGTTATAGGGATAATTTATCATGAATCCTTCCCTACTCATTGACAAAAAGGATTAATTAACTTTCACTCTCTTTATTTGCATAGTAAACTAGGAATTCATATTACTGATTCAGATACTATCTACTTGGTCTAGCATGTCCGTTAATGCTAGCCAACCCTTTCAAATTAGAGAAGAAGTAAGAACTCTGGAAATAAGATTGGTAAATGTGACTAACCATTATCAGTCACAAATATACTAACTTGAGTGTCACTTAATTTAATATAACTTTTCACTTACACTAACAGGGTTCAGAATTTTTGAAGGAAAAAAGAGAGTGGAAGTAATAGAACACGCCTCTATTGGGATTCCAGGACCTATAGAACAATATTTGGCTGCTGAGAAACTAAAAGTCCAGTGTCTGACAAGATCATTTGTGTTTGTTACTTTTGAGTGTGATCGTGTAGAAGTAAGTCCATTGACACTCTCCTCTTGTGCAGCAAGTTTCAGAGTTTGATTTATTCACCTTGGATGACATTGATTCAGCATTCCAAAATGTGACCAGATTAACCTACTCTCAAAATCATTACATGTCTGGTAGGTCTCTTTTCTTGTTGCCACTTTTATCGAGTTCAACTCATGTCCGTATTGTGGTTTATTATATCAAGTATAATCTAGTATCATCCTTCATATTGTCAAGAAGGTAAAGTTACCCATGACATTGATGAGTAAAAATTCAACTGCTTCTTAATAGTTTGTTTGGTTGCAAGTCTTGACCACCAACTCATTTTGAAGTAGTTACAACATACCCTAATTAGTAACTGCTGTTTTATTATAGGAAAAGGAGAAGGAATCGTGATTGCTCCACTGGTAGCTGGTCATCTGTTAGGAGGTACCACCTGGAGGATAACAAAAGATGGGGAGGATGTCATATATGCTGTTGACTTCAATCACCGTAAAGAAAGGTAAAACTAGAACAGTCTTGTTATCCAGTTAAATGATTCTACTCTACTGTGATCCTAATATTATGATCTCTATCTTTTTCCTTTCAGGCATTTGAACGGAACTGTTTTAGAATCTTTTGTCCGTCCAGCTGTTCTAATAACAGATGCTTTTAATGCTTTAAACAATCAACCTCCTAGGCGCCAAAGGGACCAAGAGTTTCTGGGTAATTATTGCTCCTTTTCATTTTCGTCTTTTTTTTATCTCAGAACTGCTTGTCCTTCAGACTTCATTGGTTTAGGGGAATTACAGAATACACATGACACATTTTATAAATTCTACAATTATTAACTTGCTTATTTAGAGGACTTTCAGATTATCATTTGCTCTTCCCTATCCCCTTTCAAAAGAAAAAAGATCATTAGTTTTAAATTTGAAGAACTTTGAATAGACTTCATTGGGTTAGGGAAAGTGACAAATACACACAGCACATTGTTTAAGTTTTACAATTATTAAATTGTGTATTTGGAGGACTTTTAGATTGTCAAATCATCTTCCCTTTAAAGAGTAAAAAATAATGGTAGCAGATGAACTTAAGTTTTACTGATCATTATATACTCTTTTGTATGGCCAATGTAGTAAAAATAATAGCATTAGAAAAAATCTAGTTAATGGAGAAACCTACGTGAAAACAATCATAAAGATAAGGAAGTGAATAGTTTCAAAAAACGATAAGGAAGTGGATAAGTACAAACTAAACATGGTATCATAGCAGGACCCATCCCAATTCTTGTTTCCTAATGTTGATAGATTGTTCACACTTCTAGTACTGGATAGTGTCTGGGCTTGCAGAGGGGTGGGGGGTGGGGTTATGAATGAAATCCCACATTGGAGATGGATGGGCTCATTGAACTCTTAATATTGTTTGGACAATCCTCCTCTTTGGAGCTAGCTTTTGTGATTGAGTTAGGCCCAATGTTCATTCCTTTATAATACAAATTACGGACAGTACTAGTTTTGAAATCAAAAATTATAACGGAAAAATCATTATTTGGAACACAACGATCAGGGTGTCCTAATCGTTGATGCCACAGGTGGTATGAAACAATGACATTGCATTTGGGAGGACCATCAACATCGCCTGGTGGCCACTCATACAACTCATTTTTACTCCATCCCCGAACCAATAGTGCCCCTATAGTAATATCCTTCACACGATAAAAACGTGGAAAACATTCCATAGAGGTGTTATTATCTTGACAAAACTTAGAGATACAGATTAGTTTTTTTTTTCAATAACCGAGAAATCCGCCTGTGACCCGCCCTTTGGACCAATCACAACCTTCTAAACTCGGTGGATAATGGGCCCGCCCCTCTACCCTTCTCCACTTAAATACCAGGCTTCGCTTTGCATGGTGTGGGGATTAAACCTGCAACCTAAGCCACAAATCCTCCACCTTTTGCCACTTGAGAGAGCAAATGATATGCCAATATGGTGGAGATGGAATTGGTGATTTGATGCATTAGTTTTCACATTACCAGTATGAGAAATTGGAATGTTATTGCCATTTCCCATGACGATATCCTCCGAATTGTGGTAGTCTTGCATAGTGTCTAGACTCTGTATATCTGAGGCAATATGGTGGGTTACACCACTGTCAACGACCCATAAAGCTTGACTTATTCTGGAAGCGTGCAACATAATTATCACGCGCTTGAATATGGTTATGAGGCCGTGTCTAACATACACAAGCAACACGACCTCTATCATTACAGAGTTAGCAGAAGAGGTTGCTTGTCAGCGGGACACAACATTCGATGCCTTAAACTTGTGATTGAGTGAACCAACATATCCTTTCTCTCCTAGATTCAAATATGCTTGCTTCAATGATATAAATAAATCTTAGTGGAAATTTAATCAGTACATTTGCAAAGGAATACTCCACCATGGCTACCACCTCAAAAATCCTTGCCACAACACACAAACAACACATACCCAAACTCTTCACGTCCCAGAGTTTTTTGCATCTTCACAAATCTCAATCATATCGAGGAAAAGGACAAAAAAGGAGAGGGTTTAACTATAATTTTCAGCAATGATAGGGAGCAAAAAATGTAGAAGGGGAGGGAATTGCAGCAAGGAAGAAGACGAAACAGCCAGGGGGATAAGGGGAAGAGGGTTAGGGAAAATGATGAAGGGGTTTGGGGAAGACAGCACAAATGGGGAAATGGTTAGGAAGGGAAGAAGTAACAAAGGAGGGGTAACTTTGTGGTGGAAAAATGTGAAAAGAAGTTGGTTAATTGGAGAAGTCAATACTTATCCTTGGGTGGTACAGTCACATTGAACAACAGTGTTCTTGAGGCCATGCCAACCCATAAGATGCCCCTCTTTCCTATGCCGGGGAAGATCATTAAAAAGCTTGATGCTAGCAAAAGAAATTTCCTCTGGCAAGGTAATCAAGAAGGAGAAAAGAAATATCATTTGGTCAAGTGGATGCTGTTACAACCAACAAAAGAGAGGGAGGTTTGGAATTAAGAATTTGAAAGCTCACAATAAGAGCCTTCTGTTAGAATGGCTATGGAGACTAGCAACAGATGATCAGGGCTTGTGGAAGGAAATCATCGCTGCAAGATATGGAAGGGAACGACCATGGACTACTAAAGATGTTAATATTCCTTATGGTGTGGGGCTATGGAGAACTATTAGAAATAAGTGGCCAAGAATGTGGAGTAATTCTGTTATCAATGTGGGAAATGGGAGAAAAACCTTGTTCTAGAATGATATATGGGTGGAACAAACACCTTTGAGACAACAGTTCCAGACATTTACATTCTTAGTCAGCAGGAAGCCAGAAAATGGCTACAATTCTAGAAGTCATAAATGAACAAGGCAGGAAATTGACCTTCAAAAGGCTCCTCAATGAGTGAGAAGTGGAGAGAATGACTCAATTCTGCAACACCTTGGAACAAGCCAATAACCTCACCTGTGAGTAAGACAAATTGATATGGAAGTTGGATAAAGATGACACGTTAAAGGTGAAATCAGTCTACAAGTTACTGGACAGCTCAACTCAAACCAAGGAATTGTGGCATGGAAGATGATCTGGAAAGGAAAGATACCACATAAGGTGGCTTGCTTCACATGGCTTGTTGCTAGACAAGTTTTTTTTGACTCTGGACAACTTAATGAAAAGGGAGGACAGTTATGCTCCAGATGCTGTTTTTGTGAATCTGAGACAATAAACCATCTTTTTTTGCATTGTAAAGTGATTGAGAAATTATGCCAGTGTTTCATTAGCCGGAGGCGTATTAGATGGACCATGTCTAGGAATATTGCAGAAGTTATAGCATGTTGGAATAGAGATAGAAATTAGTCAGGACACAAGGAGAGATGGAAGATTGTCCCTGCCTGCTTCTGGTGGACAATATGGAGGGAGAGAAATCAGAGATGTTTTGAGAACAAGAGCATCCCCTTCCAAAGCATTAAAATGAACTGTTTAGTGATCTTTTACTTTTGGTGTATCCATACTGTACCTAAGGACCCGGGGGACATCACCCTATTTCTAGATAGTTTTTGTGGCGAGATTGGTGATTAGATTTTTTGGACTGCCCCTCTATACTTCTGATGTAATTACTAGAGAAAATGATCAAAATGGTCCTTCATGTATGAGACTTGTTTTATGTTGATCCTTAATATATTACACATGATCCATATGGTCCTTAATGTATTATAAAAAGAGATCATTTTGGTCCTAACCCTAAAAACTAACTGAAAACGTTAAAAAGATGTTAAACATTTAACTGTGGGTCCCACAATTGGTGGGCCCCTTCTTCCTCCATCTTTCTTGCTCATTTCTTCTCCTTCATCTTCTTCTTTTGCCATTTCTTCTGCAAAAACCTATCCCCACTAAAAAAGAACCAAAACCAAGAGAAACCCAGAAAGTAGAACTACCTGATAAGACCATCCTAGCTGATTTCCACGGCCACGAACACCAAATATGATGGTGAAGATAGTACACGCAATTACCAATGCCCTTGTCACTGGTGCATTGTCTACAACATCAAAGTGAAAACAAAATTAGAAAACAAGCAAATCAATATACTAAATACATAAAAACAAAAACGTAATTGATGTGGGATTCAAAAAATTACTGAAACCAGATGGTCTGACGTTCATATTTGCAGCGATAAAAACGAGATTTTTTCCCTGTTTTCTACCTAACAAAGATCTGCTAATCCTACCTAATTCTGAAGAGACAAAACGAGAAAACGAAGATCAATTTTGTTTTGATTACAATGAACTATTTGCCTTTTGTTTGCTATATTTACCAGTTTGACTTGTTACACACTTTGGGTCCTTCCCAATTTGAACCCAGAAAGGATTGATTTGTTCTTCACCCAGAACTATTTGCCTTTTGTTTGCTATATTTACCAGTTTGACTTGTTACACACTTTGGGTCCTTCCCAATTTGAACCCAGAAAGGATTGATTTGTTCTTCACCCAGAACTATTTGCCTTTTGTTTGCTATATTTACCAGTTTGACTTGTTACACACTTTGGGTCCTTCCCAATTTGAACCCAGAAAGGATTGATTTGTTCTTCACCCAGAACTATTTGCCTTTTGTTTGCTATATTTACCAGTTTGACTTGTTACACACTTTGGGTCCTTCCCAATTTGAACCCAGAAAGGATTGATTTGTTCTTCACCCAGAACTATTTGCCTTTTGTTTGCTATATTTACCAGTTTGACTTGTTACACACTTTGGGTCCTTCCCAATTTGAACCCAGAAAGGATTGATTTGTTCTTCACCCAGAACTATTTGCCTTTTGTTTGCTATATTTACCAGTTTGACTTGTTACACACTTTGGGTCCTTCCCAATTTGAACCCAGAAAGGATTGATTTGTTCTTCACCCAGAACTATTTGCCTTTTGTTTGCTATATTTCTTTTGGTTTTGGTTCTTTTTTGGTGGGGATAGTTTTTTGCAGAAGAAATGGCAAAAGAA